ATATAAATTTGAATTTGTATTTGATTTGATTTTCAAATCAAATATTCAAATATCAAATCGAATTGCGGAACCCTAATAGAGGGTGTATTTAGTTAGCATTTAAGTTCTTAGCTTAGGATGGACAAAAGCATGTATTTAAAGAGAATAAACATTATATTTAAAGAGAGTTGACTGTAATTGAAAAATAATTAGATAAATATATTTTTATAATATTTTATTTTCTAAAATTGCTATTTTTATTTATAAAGGTTTTTTTTTATATTACTAAATATTATTTAAATTAATTCACTATTTGCTAGAAAAAATGGATTCTGAAGAAAAGTATAATAATAGCCCTATTTAGGACAATATGCAATCGCGATCTAGAAAATGAGAATTCATTAGATGTAGATGATTGGTTGATGAAATTGAAGTTCAAAATTCTATTTTTTCGGCAATGTCAAAGTTGCAATTAATAAAACTATTAACTGTACAACAAACCCCTTCTAGCAGTAGTAATGTTCGTTTTGGCAGAAGAATTTATTTACATGTTGAAACTATGCGAGAACATAAGTTATATACTGGTGACCATGTGTTCGTTAGAAAAGGAGTTGAAGACAAGGTAGACGATCAGAACGCATTCGTTGAGGTATGATGAATAAATGATTATTATTAAATATTGAATGGATTATATTTATCTTTTAATTAAACGATGAATCTAAAGATGGTCACTGTGGGTGTCGCTTGGCCATCATTTGCTATTAAAAAAAACCGTATGTATATTTTTAAACCGCGAATCGAATCAAGTTATTTTGTTTAATGCAATACTTAGATTTCTTTGAATATTTAAGAGATTCAATTAAATACATTGCAACGCGAAAATGCCAATCTTGAAGTTGGTGATATCGCAATTTTGTCGCGAATAAAAGGTTTCATTGTAAATGCATCTAGAATTGTATTGAAACCATTAAGAAATGTCGATTTTCCCATCGATCAGATGTTAAATATTTTTGCAAAAGAAATTTTAAGTATGTTAATGAACTTATTTTAAAATTAAATAAATAATTTTATTATTAAATAAAAGCGATTCTTTTATTATTGTAGTAGACCTTAAATACTTAATGAAAGGCAATCGCGTAGAATTTCAATATCATGGAACAATAAGATGTTTTCATGTGGAAGAAATAAAACCTGTGAAAGATGAGAATGTTATTGGAGATGGTTTCTTAGAAATTGGTTTATATCCCGTTTGCCGAGATACATCTGTTGTAATTTTACCACATGTATGTTCTTGTAAAATTGAGAGATTAAAAAAATTACGGTTAATAATTTGAATTTCTAATGAAAGAATGTTAGTAAAGATAGAAATGTAAACGATAAAGTTCCTGAAGTTGGATATGATTCAATTGGTGGGCTATCAGAACAAATTAAAATAATTCGCGAGATGGTAGAAACTCCTCTAAAGAATCCCGAGATATTTACTCAATTTGGTAATTTCCCATAATCATTGAATTGAACTAAAAGGTTAGTGTCGTATTAATGCATCAAATAATTATTTAGGATTACGACCACCCAAAGGAATTCTTTTATATGGGCCTCCGGGCACCGGAAAAACGTTAATAGCACGTGCAGTCGCATCAGAAACAGAATCCCATGTAATTTGTGTGAATGGTCCCGAAATAATTAGTAAATTTTATGGGGAAACTGAAGCAAAGCTAAGAAATATATTTGACCAAGCGACTGAAAATGCACCTTCAATTATTTTTATTGACGAAGTTGACGCGTTATGTCCTAAACGCGATGAGGTAATTACTTTAAGTTATTATTTCTAGGTATATCAATAAAATTATTAAAAAAAGTTTAAATATATGAAGGCAAGTAATGAATCGGAAAAACGCATTGTAACAACACTACTCACTCTAATGGATGGAATCACTAACAAAAAACATCATGAAACGCAACATGACCGTGTTGTAGTTATTGGAGCAACAAATCGTCCAAATGCTTTAGATCAAGCATTGAGAAGGCCAGGAAGATTTGACCGCGAAATCGAAATTAGTTTGTGTCAATTCATCAATTGAAATATTCTCATTATTTTAATTTATTATATTTCTTAATATATTCATCCATATCTTTTAACGATTTTAAGCGATTCCAAATGCTATTTCGCGTTGTTCTATTTTATCGACTTTATTGAAAAAAATCCCAAACACTCTTAAAATCGAAGAAATAAATGCATTGGCGTCTAAATCACATGGTTATGTTGGTGCGGATCTGGCAGCTGCTTGTCGAGAAGCCGGATTAAAGGCCATTAAAAGGTGCATAAAGGAAAATAAACGAGATGATGTAAAAGTTAACATACAAGATATGGAAGCTGCCATGGCTGAAATTCGACCTAGTGCTATGCGAGAAGTGAGTCTATGTTTTGCGACATACTTTAGTTTGTTACCTTTTCGAAATTAAAGAATTTTGTTCTTGACTTCATTCAGATACTCTTAGAGGTTCCTAAAGTATATTGGTCAGATATAGGTGGCCAACAAGAAATCAAACAGAAACTAAAGGAGTCAATAGAATGGCCATTACAACATCCCGAGGCTTTTCTAAGGTTAGGCATAAGACCTCCAAAAGGTATATTGTTGTATGGACCTCCAGGATGTAGTAAAACCCTTATGGCCAAGGCTTTGGCGACTGAAGCTGGTTTGAACTTTATTGCTGTGAAAGGTCCTGAGGTGAGATGCCTAAGCAGAATCAGAATTGAAAATCTGCCAATATTTAACCAAGAAAGGTGTCGAATTTATTTATATTTTAGCTTTTCAGTAAATGGGTTGGTGAATCAGAGAAAGCAGTTCGTGAAGTATTTCGTAAAGCACGCGCAGCCTCTCCTTCAATCGTGTTCTTTGTAAGTGATCAATTTAATGTTTTTAATTCACACGTATAAAAGGCATTGATTTATTTAAATTTATCGTTCTTTAAGGACGAAATTGATGCTTTAACTATAAAACGTGGCTTTGGTAAAGAAAGTGGTACTTCAGTTGCAGACCGAGTTCTATCTCAATTATTAAATGAATTAGATGGAATTGAACCGTTAGTAAATGTAACTGTTGTAGCTGCAACCAATCGTCCAGATATTATAGTAAGTAAAATGTTATATTTGTTATACGTTGAAGAGTGTATATATATATAAATCATCAATTCATTTAGGATAATGCGTTATTAAGACCTGGACGGTTTGATCGGATATTATATGTAAGTCCACCTGATTTACAATCCAGAGAAGAAATTTTTCGAATTCAATTAAGAAAAATGTCACATGCAAAAGATGTCAACGTTGAAGAATTAGCAAAAAAGGTAACGAGGGTATAGAAGATATTTCTATTTAAAATCGCGATATTTTTATTTAAATTTGTTTAATTGTATTGAAGACTGATAAATGTTCGGGCGCTGAAATTGTGGCTATATGTCAAGAAGCAGCTTTATATGCTATGGATGAAGATCTTGAGGCTAAAGAGGTATTTAATGAACAACTCTTATTTTATATACATATATATAAATTAACATTTATAATATTTTAGGTAAGGAATGGTCATTTCTTTAAAGCGATTTCTTCGTTTACATGTCGTATTACACCAGAAATGATTAAATTTTATGATGATTTTCAAGAAAAATTCGAAAAAAAATTTTAATAAATAAATCTTTTTTAATGGGCGAAAATTGCACCAGCTGAGAAATTTGAATTTTGCAAAAGCATTCCTTCTAACTTGCATAAAATTACACTTTCCTCGATATTGCTGATCCTCCTACTGTAAATAACTATCATAATCATTTTTACCTGTATGATGTTTAGCAATTTCTGAGTGTTTAATATCATTGAAAACAAAGATTCTTCTACACATTTTACCATAGCTATCTCTTTTAGTATTGTTCTAAATGGTTTTGTTCCATTTTTCATTTAAATAATTCATCGATGATTTAATTTACAGCAATGACAAGCAGCTTTATTTGTTGGACAACCATTTTTTTTTTTTTTGTTTAATCTTTTTTTTAGTGTCTAAAAACGTAGTACAAGCCTCTCAGGATTTCTGATTTACCAAAAAGTGATCACGAAGCTTTATTTTTTGGGGGGAGGTTTTTTTTTTTGATTAATGTATATTAAATTTTTTTTTAAAATACAAAATATTGATTCTAGAAATAATCACAAGATTCTTGCACTACTAATAAATCATCTATAATCCTTTCCACCGTTGTTCCTATATGTTTTGTCATTTCTTTTTGACGATGCACAGCAAGGTTTTGGAATTGAAACAAGAGATCGCCGTCTAAAATACCTTTGGCCGGATTAATAGCCAATTTCTGTTTCGAATTAAGGAGTCTAATTTTATTATAAATGAATGATATGAATGAATATGAGTGTGTATTAAGTTGATAAATATAAATTAACAAAGTACCTGAAAGCTTTGGGATTTAAACCCGCGATATGTTGTAATCCAGTCACCATCTTAGAATGTAAAAGTTGTAATCGTTTATACATTCTCTCAGGTATCGGAGTGATAATGCTTATACTACCATCGAGAGTTCCTAATCATAATGGAAATTAACTTATGAAATTCATGAAAGAAATATGGATTTATTTGTTTTTTTTTTATTTACTTACCACACAAACAAAGTAATTTATTTCCACTAATATCTTCTTCCAAATATCCCGAACCTCCTTGTTCATTAGGTTCATTTCTTACTAATTCTTTTTTTGGCATGCTTAACGTCACTTTCACTTGTGCACCAATATGAAAATCACCACGACGGATAAGTTTTTGTCCCGCAAAAGACTGAACATCTTAAAAAGATGAATTTAAAAGTTAAGTTGAATAATTAATTTGAAATAGTAATACTATTATTAAACACTTACTATATGGTGCGTATTGAAATAAATGGATGTTTTTATCCATATCTGCTACAGTGATGTATAACATTGGCTCATCGATTAAATAATTTAAACAACTAACCTCCAATGAATGATAGTCTTTACCAACCAATATTAATTTTGCTGGTTCTTCCTGTATAATTATTATGATGAAATATAAACTTTCGGGAACAAAAAAAGATTTATATTCTTTTGAAAGAACTTACCTGGAATCCAAGAAACCAAACACTCTTGTATACATCTCCCAACAATATATAGTCCTTAACTGAAACAACGCTATTGCCATAAATTTGAATGTCTATGAATGCCACGCTAATTAGTCTATCGTTATCTTCGAAAGCTCGTATAAATATCTACGATGTTAGATAAATACATAATAAATACGAGATTCGATATAAATGAAATGAATAAATGACAAAATCAATTTTTTGTTACCTTTGGTCCAACACAAGTTAATAAGTATCCCTTAACATCGCAAATTGCAGTTACAGAACCTTTCACCTCTTCATGACACAGTAATTTATACTTATGATTTGTTTGCGGATTATCAGGTTCGGGAACAACTTCAATTATTTCAAATATATATACCTGTAAATAATTAAAGCATAAAATTAGTCAAAAAATTATTTATTATTTTTTTTTTTTTTAAAAAAAAAAGTACGTACATTTCCTCGCATGCCTACATCCTCGCCTCGGAAAAATCCTGTACCAACAGCAATGAAAGATTTTCGTCCACTGGATGTAGATTTCGTTTGAAGATTTACGCATTTGATACAAAGAATTTGTTCATCTTCCAAAAAACCATAGCTATATATATAATAGGAATCAAATAACAAACAATCAAGACAAGGCAGATAGATATAAGAAAACAATTAGCGAACCTG